ATCTGACCCTTGTCCCACCTTCCAGGTGGAGCGTGTAATCACCATTATGCAGAATCCACGCCAATACAAGATTCCTGACTGGTTCCTGAACAGACAGAAAGATGTGAAGGATGGCAAATACAGCCAGGTGCTTATTGATGGAATGGGAGTGGGGGGTGCTCCCCACTCGAATAAAGGTGATCTAGAGAGGAAAACACTTACTCCCTGTTCCAGGTCCTGGCCAATGGTCTGGACAACAAGCTCCGTGAAGACCTGGAGCGGCTGAAGAAGATTCGGGCCCACAGAGGGCTGCGTCACTTCTGGGGGTGAGTAGTGGCAGGTCTTGCCTACCTGTATGTACCCTAGACTTCATTCTGAATCCTGGTGCTCAGCCTTCTTCCTCCAACCCCTCAAGTCTTGTTTGTGCTATGTATGAAGAGTTATCCTTCTCTTTCTTACCTGCAGCCTTCGCGTTCGAGGCCAGCACACCAAGACCACTGGCCGGCGTGGCCGAACTGTGGGTGTGTCCAAGAAGAAATAAAACTCTAGGCCTTGTCTATGAATAAATCATTTATACACATTCCCTTGTGATTCTCTCCTTTATTTCTGGTACTATCCATAGGGATTGTTGGTGTCTGGGGCTGGGTCCTGGTGGTCATTCCTCCCGGTTAACTGAAGATGTTGACCATATTTAGCCATTCAAAGTCCTGGTGTGGCACTGTAGGATAAACACTACTGCAAGATGTATGATTCAAACTCATCAGCCTTGCGTGGAATACATATGGGCACTTGACATCAGTTAAAGCAGTGGTATTCCCCACCCATACCTTGAAGCAGAAGCAAGGTGATGATGTAATCTCTTGTAAAGTGCCATCAAGTTGGTTTTGACCCATAGCAACCCTGTATAGGGTTTTTGTGGTTTTTTTTTTATTAAATTTAAGGGTTTTATTGTGGATTGAATGAAAGTTTACAGGGCACATCAGTTACACAGTCAACACTTCATATAACTTGTTTCATTACATTGTTTATAATCCCCTCCATATACCATCAGTTAAAAGTATTTCTCTTTATCCACTTTAGCTTTTTAAAAAAAACACAAAACACCCCACTCAGGCATATATAATAAGTTACATTTCCAAAGGGCACATTCTGCTACTCTGCTCCTGGCCAGCAGCTCTTAGTCCTCTTCTTAGTTGATGAATCTAGACTCAGTCGCTCCCCTTCTCCATGCCCCCATCTCTGGCGCTGCTGCTTCTCTGGATAAGGTCCTGCGTTCTATTTTTGTGTTCCTCTCTTGATGGTCCTAGGGTCCTCTTGTTTCTGGACTGTGTTATAAAACTTCTACCTTTACAATTGTGACAGTCGCAATTAGTCATAACAGTTATTCACAATTGAATCTTACGAATCTTATCCCCATCTCCTTTCACCAGACCCATCTAGACAAGATGATAACTATTCAGTGGGGACTCCCCCCACACTCTTAACTAAGCTCCCTCTCAAAACCT